GGTAACTGCCCAGCTGGAGGTACTTGTGTTTGCAAAAAGGTATTAGCTAAATTACCAAGGGTGGATGTGTTTAAAGCTTGACCTCACTAATGTTTATAAATTTGTAAAGGGCGAGCGTCAGGAGAAAGGAGCCAGGCTCTGCTCAGTGATGTCCAATGACAGGACAAGGGGCAATGGGTGCAAGCTGGAGGATAGGAGGTTCAACCTGAACATGAGGAAAAACCTTTTTACTGTGAGGGTGACAGAGCACTGAACAGGCTGCCCAGAGAGGTTGTGGAGTCTCCTTCTCTGGAGACATTCAAAACCCGCCTGGACGTGTTCCTGTGCGACCTGGTCTGGGTGATCCTGCTCTGGCAGGGGTTGGACTGGATGAGCTTTCGAGGTCCCTTCCAACTCCTGAGATTCTGTGATTCTGTGATTCACGCAAAACTGGGATCTCAGTGAATGTCGTATGTGTAAGTTGTTTCCTTGTTAAATCTGACAACAGGGCATTTATCAGGACTTGCTTTGGGTCTCTGCTATTTTTAGGGGTTTTGGGAATAAGGGGGGGGGGAAGGCATTTTATTGATTTACCAAGAAAAGATGTGTCAAAGACGAATTGCCCTTGTGGGGCAGCCAAGCTAGCTAAGTTTCTCTTATTTCAAATATTCTTTGTTTTCATTTTTTAAAACAAATATACTGCTCTGTGGAAAAACAACTATAAATTATTTTCCAAATTAAAGTAATTACTTACAAACATTTAAAAAATCATACCTCATCAGCATCAATAGTTTGTGCTTATGAGAGAACTGCAAAAGCTATTTGCTTTTAAAAAGTGAGTAAACTTATCACCTAGTAATGAAAAAGTAGGTTTAGGGTTTGCATGTAGTCATGGACCAAAGGCGAATTTGTCTTGGACAATACTGAAATAGCTTTTTTTCAAACAGAGAAAATTACTAGTGAAGGATGTCAATGATCATGTTCATGCTGAAAAAATGTTATTTCTTTATTTTCACATGCAGAGCTGTTCTTCTGTGCAGCAATCCCATTCCAGTGAGACCATCCATGCAATATATAAACATGAAGTTACCATTATTTTAATGTTCTTAATGAAGCTCCTGATAGGAATGTTTCCAACACATGGGGCCTCGCATGGGGACCCCAGAGGTCAAGGACAGATGCAGGAGGAACCTCCCACCACGGACTTGTCCGGACTCACAATGTCGCAGTCGGTGTGTGCGCAGGATAACTCCTTGTGTGACTGATTTCATACGTAGAGTCTGTCTCTTCACAAGCATTTAAATGCTGTTATTTGGAAGGTCAAATGGTTGCTGTAGCAGAGGTGGTGTTGGATGGAGTAGAGAACTTGCTTTTTTGTGAAGGCTTCTGGTTCTTCTGCAGTGATGACTTTAGGAAGGGAGGAGGGGGTGGCAGTAGTTGGGGACGAGGTGACATCCCAGAGCACTTCTCTTGTGCTCAGTACATTTGCAGCTGGTGCCAGGAGTTCCCAGCTGTTATTTAGAGGACTCACACATCATTTCTCAGTCCCTCTCCCCTCCTTTTCCTTCAGCTGGGAAGCTCGGAGGAGCCACAGCAGCCTGGCTGCCTCTCTCCACTTGCCTTGTGACGGCTCTGGCAGGGGCTGCTTGGCCGTGGCTTTTGCCAGAGCTTTCTTCTGACACAGAAATGTGCTGAGGAACCACATTGCCAGCAGACGCTGTCCCGCTGGCCAGGATTCACAATGTAGGCTATAGGGGAGGATGGTCCTGGCCGCACCACAAACCACGCTGCCCAGTGACCCAGGGCCCTTCGCAGGGACACTGAAATACCGTCGTGCTCTTTTGTTCTGACACTTTCCTCCTTTTCAAACATAAGATTTTACCATTTTTCAAAACCACAGAGACAGAGATTGAAGGCAGCCCTTTGAATTTGTTAAAATTTGGCTGCGGGGTTCCTTCCAACCCCTGTGCTAATTTTTAGCAGAGCAGGAAACATTAAAAATAACCATGAGAGAAGATTTCCCAACTCAGAAGGATTGACCTCTTAATAATCTCTGGCTTTGTTTTCACTAGATATTTCCCCCCCTTTAAATTCCTGTAACGCTGCTAGAGCAAGTACATCCCTGCCGGCAGCAGTAGTGGCACTGGAGGAGGAAGGCAGAGGGCGGGTTAGCCAGGCTGGCACCTGGGCTTGCTCTGAGTAGGAGTGAGGGATGTACAGGGGAAATGGTTGTTATTTATTGGAAGAGCTTTTGCATGTGAATTGGAACTTGCAAGCTCCATGTCTTCCTACTTTGGTGAACCTAAAATTGTTCCCAAGCCTTCAGCTGCTCTCCATATTGGGTGAATCTCACTTTTGCAATGAGACGTGACATTTTGGTGCTACTTCTCAGGATTTCTGAGCTTCTACTGTGAAACAAAACACCATTTTAAAAAAATTGCTTTTGGTCAGGACCATGTTTTGGGGGAAGTTGATTGAATTTTTTCACTGCCTTGTCTTAAAGCATCAGGTTTATCCTAGAGAGAAAGTTCATCCCTGTTGATGTAGTGAGCATTTAATTACATAAAGTACAAGGACTATGTGGGATTCTGATTAAAAGGCTTGTAATTGAGTGTGGACAAGGGCATGAGTTAAATCTGTCCCTGGGCAAAAAGCACAGCATGAAGCTGCTGTGATGCTTTCTCTTGCTTGGGCCCTGTAACAAGGTGTCTGGAAAACTCACCTTTTTCTTAAACTTTGTGCTGGTCATTTAAGTGGAAGTTACTTTTGTCCCCCAACAATGAAAACTTATATATAGGTGGTTTTTTACTCAAGGAACAGGGGGGAAATTTGTTGTTTTCCTGTTCCTTAGTTAGCAAATAAACTGAAGATTGCTTCGTCTTTAATCAAAATTACAAGGAGCAGAATTCAAGTAAAAGACAGTAATGATCTTAACACATGGGTGCTCCTGGAAGTTGCCGGCAATCAAGTAGGCAAGCCCAGATTTCAGATGCTTTCTCCTACTTCACACGTGCAATCCCCTGGCTGCTCTCAGAAGCCCTGCCTTTCCAGACGTTTGGTTGGGCAGGTAAAGCAGAGTCAATTAAATCTCCAGCTCAGACTAACAAAACATTTAAAATTCTGAGTTAGTCTTGTCTGTTCAGCAGCACAGCTGGCCAAAACCCCTTTTGAAAGCCCAGTGGATATTGTTTCTCACAAGCATTAAATGCTTTCCCTCAAACAAACATCTTTTGAATAGGCCATTTTTTTTCCTTCTGGATGTCCCTTTGTGGACCGATACACGAATAGCTAAAAGCTAATGAATTGGTATTGTAAATTTAAAAAAAAGATTAACCTCTGAGACTCCTTTGAGAAGTTGAATGTGCTGCGAGTGCTCGGCTCAGGTCATCTTGTCCTCTGGAGCTGCATTGGGACCTTCAGGTGAGCCAACTCAAACAATCATGGTTTCTGGAAATACACTCTGTGGACCTGATGCCTTTCCCAAGTTTTATAATGTAAGGAATCAATGTGAGATAAGGTATGGAGGGGTGTTAGGGGACAAAGTTGTAGTTTGGTTGTGACCTGCAAGCCTTTGCATTAACAGTTGCAACTGCATTCGTTTACATTTTTCATTACTACTATGTGGCAGTAGTGTACAGGTAGTCCTTATAGGAAACAGTACACACCATGTGAACAATATAGCTTATATATTGTCACTTCAGAAATCTTGTGAAATCTTGTTTCAGGTGAACATCTCTTGCACAGATCCCCTGGTCCTTATAACACAGGCACTGATGCCCTGCCCAGGGTTCAGCCACTTGGATTTACCTCTTTTTCCTGACAGAGCTGTGTCTCCCCCCATGGTTTCATACTCCAAGCTCCATCACTACAGCCACTGCAGAGTGATTTATTCCTTACTGATGGCCAGAGCTGGGAGCTGGAAAGATGCTATTTTTAATGCAGCCATTGGGTTTTTCCTACACACCTTACGCTCTTTTGCTCAATTTCACCATCACAGATTTAAGCTGAATTAAAAAAAAAAGTTCACCCTAATTGGTTCCCTAAGAAATACAGAAAACTTGGATACTTTACGGTTGTGTTATACCATAGTCTGAGCTACCTTTGCTTCGGTAAGTCTTCCCAGCTTACAGGGCTGTAATGCAGGAAAATGGTTCAGCCCAGCACATCTGCAGGAGGATGCGCATGTGGCCGCGCAGGGCAGCCATAGGAGGGAGCAGGTGCTGATCTCAAGGTACTGTTTTGCAAGCGTAGCCCTTGAATTGGCAGCAGACAGTGAGGAGAGCAAGGCTGGGTTGTTGTGTTTGAGACCACAGGAGCTGCCAGCCGTGCTGCAGCACTGAGTCAGGCTTTGCTGTGGGGCCAGAGCAGGTATGCACTGAGGAAAGGTTTTAAGTTGTCAGGCAGCAGGTTGTGGATGGGTTTTCAGACTGCAGTTCTGAGATTCACTGTAGCTGCTGAGTTTTGAACTGCTGCTCTTCATCCCCAAATCTCTGTGTGCCAGCACCAGCTGACAGCAGGGGCAGCTTTGGCTTTGTCCATGGGACTTAGAACATCTGTGCTTCCTCTACCAACGTGCATCCTTTTTCAAAAGCAAGGTTTCCTATGGCCCAATATGTTCAGTGGCTTTGTATAAATTAAGGGCCGTATGCCAGAAATGTCTCTCAGGACCCCCTCAGTTTCAGTGAATCAGGATTGTTTTACTGCTGCTCTTTTAGAGTGTTTAAAAACTTCAGGGAGTCCTGAGAACTGTGCCAGAGCAGTGTCCCCCTGTTCCTGTCACTAATCCTGTCACTTCCTCTCATGCTCCTCTATACTCTGCAAATTGTTTGACTCATCTTACTGTTCCTCTGTGAAACCTTCCTGCTGGATTGCATGGATGAAGGAACAGGTGTATAAGTAACATAGCCTAAGACTGTACCATGTGTAAGTAGAGTCTCTTTCAGAGCATGACATATTGCTATGTTTGTAAATTGATTTTTTTCTTATTTTTTACTAATGCTGTCTTTCCCTTCCCTTTTCAGGGGCCTCTTGGTTTGGATGGCAAACCAGTAAGTAGCACCGAGTGCCAAATGTAACATGTCTTTATTCATGCTGCTCTGCAATAGATAGGCAGAATCTCCGCTATTACTCATTTTTTACTTAGGAGACAAAATTTTATTTAGGAAAAATATTCTGCGGTCCGTAATACATGCAAGTTTAAATTCTGAGCTGGGGCTGGCTGGCACAGCTGAAGATGAGCTTTTCTTTACCTGTCAGCTCATCTCAGCTGCTTCTCCCCTTCCTATGCAGCTCAGCTAGCGGAGACTTTGCAGATGGGCTACAGATCAAATGTGGGAAATAAACTCCAGTAGCACCTTGGAAGAAGTAAAGTCAGTGAATTTGGTTGTGTGTTCTGGCACTACAGTCGTATCATAAAAATAATTGTTCCCAAACTGCGTTCGTTTGCCTCCAAAGGAGCCCGGGCTGGAAGTGCTTGAGAGTGCCTAGTGGCCACACAGTACTTTGTGGAACAGCCTAGACTTCATTTTATGAGCTGTTCACTTGACTTCATTTTTGCTTGGAAGCCCTTTGGATACTCAGGTGCTCCACTTTTACTTATTTTAGTGAAACACGGACTTTTTTGGTTTTATGCTAGCTGAACACTAGCCAGCTCCAATTCTTCCAGCTGGGTGGTTGCTACAGGAAGTCACAGCTCTATCATTTTTATCTAAATCCCATTCCATTCCACCATGTTCACTAGAGGGCACAATTTGAAATCTTTTCAAGCTCTGGTCCTAAACCAACTGTGATTTTCAAAGTCATTCAGTCTTTGCAATTGAAAAGTTACTCCAGATACTTATTTCTAGCCAGCTGGGGAGTGTTTTGTTACAGCTGTACATTGCTGTGGTTGGTTTTTATCCTACTTCTGAAGATGACAAATGTAAATTAAAAAAATCTAGAAATAATGCATTAGAAAAGAAAAAAATCTTAAGAAACTGGAAGGCCAGCTCACACCAACTGTGTTCAGGGTTTGGTTTTGAATTAGCAAAACCCAGCGATGGAGAAGCAGCACAAACCCCAGCAGCACCCTCCTGTGCCCATGTGGATGCAAAGGGCTGCAGGTTGTGCAGGTGCACCAGGAGGAGCGAGACACCTGGGTGACAGGCAAGGAAAATCTCAACAAAAAAAGCAAACTTATCAAATGGCTGAGCTCAAACCAAGACTGCTCATGATCTCAGCAGCCTTGCTTAGAGCCAAATTAACATACAGCAGGAAGGATGCCACATGGGGATGCAGATGCTGCTGCCATCGGCCTCTCTGCTGACCTTCCCTTGCTGGGTCCTGCTTCGGCAAACATGGTGAATTGGGCAGAATACAGTATTTTTGTGTGCTGGAAGGAAGGATGCAGGGTAGGCACATAAAAGCGTGGCTCTGAGGCTTCTCTTTGGAGCTGCAGAGTGGCTCTGCCTGTCTTACAGAAAGCTGCCCAGAGGGAAGATGACTTATGTCTTCAGTAAATAGGCTAAAGCAAGCAGCCCGTCCTCCTTGTTTATTTCAAACAGATGTATAATTGTTGTAATGATATGCTGAGCATGTGTTTTTCCAGAAGTGATTTAATACTTCAAGAAATCTCTTGCATCCATTTAGAGTCACGTGTTTGTGAGCTGCTGTCACCCTGCCTGCCCTGCCCTGGCCCTTTTCTGGTCCTCTGTCCTGGCAAGAGCAGGCAGGACCTCGTGGGTGCTTTTTGGCAGCATGCTGCTCATGTGAAGCAGTGTATAACTTAAAATAAGAGTATGTATAACTTAAAATAATAGCAAACGTGGCTCAGGTTTGTGAGTTGATGAATGCAGTCTCCTTGGTGTTGAAGTTGTGTGTATTGATAATTCTGTTTCTTAACTTGGATCCTTGTTATGTGTTTCCAGGGACCTCCAGGACCAAAAGGGGAAAAGGTAGAGACTGCACAGACACATGGCTTTTGGGACAGCAGCTGTATGTCCTCCTCCTGCGGTCATTCTCTCAGTTCAGGTTACCCCAATACTCCAGCATTGCATTGCCACTGGCAATGGGATGTGGAGCCATGACACCAGGTTCTTAGGTTGCTTTTGGATGAGCCCTGGGAAGGGGAGAGTAGGAAGACTTTGCAAAGATACAGGAGGAGTAAGTATGGCCTGAAAGCTCATCCATGCTGTAGGATTCTTGGTAACCCCTTAGGGGTTAGGAGGGCAGCACACAACTCTCTTCCTTCTTTCTTCCAAGAGCAAGGCTGCAGGCTCCATTGCTCTGTGTTTGCATGACATCCTCCTATGAAGTTAGAGCAGCCAAAGAAGGTCATTACTGTTCTGACAGTGATGTTAATCCTCGTATGTGTAGAACATAAGCAGTTGCTAGGGGAGATGTAGAGTTGGAAACAGTCTGCTATTTCTGATTTATTATCCTGTTTCATTGCCTGCCAGGGCAGAATCATTTCCCATTGTGTTGTCTCGAGCCCTTCTCCTCCCTGGTTTTGAATACATTAAGCAATAGGACTCTTGCCACTTCCCTTGGGTGTTGCTCTCAGCTGACCCTGCGCTCGGTCCTTCATGGTTGAAATGTGAACTCTAATAGCTGACCCTTGCTGTTTTGCAGGGTGAAGCAGGGGACATAGGCCCAAGGGTAAGTAGTGACTCGGCACATTGATTTATTCTAAAACCTGTTTGGGTTTGGTCACTGCACTAAACAAGGCTTTGTGCAGCTTTGCCACTGCAAACTGAAGTTCTGGAAGTGTTTAATATTGCCATTGGAGCTCTTTGTGGTGGTGGTTTTCCTACATTTGACCATGGGGAAATGAGCTGAAGATCTTCAGGTACCTCATGAAGGGTTTTGCTTTTACTGGACTTTCCTATCCCTGATTCCCTCTTCCAGTGTCAGAGACAGACTCAGTCTTTCTCTTGAAGTGGTTGTCCTTATTTGTTGTCATTAGAGCATTGGTATGTGGTAGTAAGACCCAGTGTCCCAAGACAGGACCCGGCACAGTGTTGTGCAGGATGGAAAGTTCCTCCTCTCTTGCTTAGCTGCCTGCCTAGGAGCGCAGTCTGCCTTTAATTGAAAGTAAAGGTTTTGAAGTAACTGTATGGTGAAGGAAAACTGTTTAGGCGAGGGCAGCCATAACACAAAGTCTCCCATGTCAGGGATGAGACTGGAGGGCTCACCATGAGGTGTGTGGTATTTTCGGGGTGGGCTCCATCGCAGTAACAGAGGTCTGGTTGGCCGTGGGTTGGCACCAGTTGGGAACTCTGTGGCTTGGATGTGGTGGAATTCTGGGGTAAGGGCCCCACAGAGAGGCCAGATTTGGAGCTGGCACCCAAGAGTCAGCTGAAAACATAGCCAGGACCTCAGTGGTTAACTTCAGACTGAGATACCTCAGAGTTATTTTTTGATTTGTTTTTTTTTTTTTCTCTAGAGGCTGTTAAGTCACTTTTTGAACTTGGTGTCGTTTTCTGAAGCAGCTCCCAACCGCCTTGGGTGCCTTTGGAAATGTCATGCTTGGGCTCTGAGGGCCCCTAAAGTTTCTCCCATAGATTTATGCCCTGTGTGGCTGAGGATGGGCTCAGTGTAAGGTCTCAACCTTGTCTAAGTGCCCACCCACATCCTCTGAAAAGGCTTTAAGAAATGATTCAGCGGCACATGGGTATGAGTTTCCACTCCTCGGCTGGGGCTGTGGATGACTCTGCGGTGGCAGCTTGGGCAGTGCTGGAGGAGATGCTCAGGCCCCAGAGCCCCTGGTCTGTGCTGCTGGATAACACGGGAACCCTCATCCCACCACGGCTCCTCGTGCTGTGGGAGATGCTCTGGGGACAGGCTCCCTCTGTGCCCACAGATGTGGGTGCCAGCTCCCAAGGTAACACTTGTCCTAGGTTTTAATCTACTGATAAAAATATGTGCTTTTCTCTTTCTCATGATCTGTGTTTGTCCAGATTTTGCTTTACTTTTCAATTTATTTGTCTTTTTGCATAAGAGTAAGAAAAAGGCTCACAGACAATTTGGAAAGAAAGGGAGAGCAACAAGCCTGGCAGAGCCACAAGTAGGTCTGAGAACTGGTGCTTGGCTTTGAAAATAGCTTCCTTTATGTCTCCAGACACTTGGGACTGTGGATTGGATACAAAACTTCATAATACCATCTGGCCCAGATTATTTTTCATTTCTTAATTTAATCTGTCTTCTTCCTCAAATTTCAGTGGTGGCTTTGTTTAGCTGATTTTGAAAGATGTGTCGCAGCAAGTTATTGCAACAACAGGACGATAAATAACTAGGAATATATTCAGTGTAAATGTGTGTATCTATGAGCGGTGGAGTGGGGATAGTGTGTGTCAGTGAATGCAAAAATATTATAATTAGGAATGATTAAATGAGAATAGTGCTTGGGGTGGCTCTGGCGGGAGGGCTGTCTGCAGTGGCAGTGAGATGAAGGCAATTACGGATCAGCTACCGAATGTGTTTTTGTTGGCGCTGCTTCTCTTTCTGTCTCTAATAAACACCTGCCGCCAGCATGGACAAAAAAGAGATTATCGCACGTGTGAGCGTGCCTGACGCTGATGTTAGAGGGTGATTTTGGAGAGCTGAGGAAGGCGCTTCCGCTGGGTTGTCTTAGGCACTGAAAGCTAGGGCTTGCAAATGGCATCGGAGAGGCTTTTGCACAGCCTCACCTAACCAGGACGGGGAATAGACATACTCAAATATACTGATAATTACAGGGAGAAAACAAGAGCAAATGTTCTCCTTGACCTGGGGGGAAAGGAGGAGTTGAAACAGGATGCTGCCAAGGCTGGGACTGCTCTGCCCTGATATTCGTGCTTGTATTTATCTCTTAAAACCAAACATATCATTATACCTCTGAAAAGGGCTGTGTTTACTTGAATGGTGCTCAGCAATCTGAAGGGATAAGAAAAAAGTTTGAATTCTTGTCTTGCTCCTTGGGCTTTTCTGAAAATCCCCCTTAATGCTTTTGTGTATCTTCATGTACATAAGAACCCAGAAAACTTGGTCCTTCAGGTCTACCACAAAACCCTTTGCTCTCAGTAGAGCCTTTGTGGTGATTTCTGTAGCGTCTGGAGGGCCTGGCTGAGCACAAGGGCTATGTGTCTCTGTTAATTTCAGTGTGGCATCATCTTGGATTTTAAAAATCTCAGGATTTCAGTGTTGTTCCTCCTCAAAATGGCTGTATTTAAAGTGAGGACTGAGCTAAAGCCTCTCTACAGATTGAAAAAAATCCTTTGGGGGTTTATTTTCCAGGGTTGTTTAGTTTTTTCCATCCAACTTTGCTTTTCCCTTCCCTTTCTGAGAGGGCTGTGTTAAAACAATGGTGACCGATGTACCTGTGCACACCTAGTGGGCTTGCCCATGCAGTATTTACCCCAAAATTGAGGTTTGGGGTTATCTATTTTTTATGCACAAGGTTTAAAAGCTCCCTGGGCAATTTGGACAAGAGGATCATTCTTTCCAGACCTTCCAAAATCCTCATGCATGCTGTGCTGTGCGTTCTTAGAATTTAGTAGTGGAAAGGTTATGGTTAGACTCAGTGATCTTGAAGGTCTTTTTCCATCCAAATAATTCTGTGATATGATTCCCATGGGGCTTCTCATGGCTTCACTCCATCCCTTTGGGCCCTCTACAGATGCGCATGGAAATGGATGGGGGAAAGGGAGGCGCAAGCAGTGTCCTGAGAAAGGAAATGTCTTCCTGCTTTTCCCTAGACAGATAAGTGGAAAGGCTAAAAGACAATAGCAATGACTACTGACATGGTCTGAATACATTGTTTTTGCATCATATAAATCTGAGAGATTTATCTGCATTTTGCAGGCTGGGGGATACATCAGTATTCATTTTAGCCTTTGAAAAAAAATAATAATATTTGGTCTCAGGAGAAATGCTGGGATATATCCCTTGTGGGGTTTACTGGAATAATGCTCTTTATTCTGCAGAAAGCCCTGCAGTAGGGGAACCCTCTGTACCCCAGCTGCTTTGAATGTCCTATTGTGCAGTAAACTAATGAAAAGATATTCTCTGTGTCTATTTAACTGCTTACCAAGCTCCAGTGTATCCAGAACGTTAAAACAACCACTGTTGGCTACCTGGATTAATTCCTTCTCGTGCACCAATTAATTATCAAAGGAAAATTAAAATGTATTGTTAAAGCCTTTAACACTCACTCTTCTGCCGTGCTTTCATCTTAAATTCTTGCTCTTTCCTTCTCTGCCTCCCACTTTACTGCCTAGATGGTTTTTCCCCGCCTCAATCATGGATTTCTGGCTAATGATCAGCTTGTCTTTAGCCGGCGAGTGCTCAAGGTAGATGTATTAAATCTGTTGCCACTGGTTTGCTGTGATTTTTTGAGTTGCTTTTGTTTCTTCTTTCTGGCTAATTGTGCACTATTGCTGTTTTTAATTGTCACTATCATGGCTGCATTCAGAGATGCTTGTTGGGAGCCCACTTGAGTGACACCTCATTGGAATTTAGGGAGAGTTTTGTCAAAGGAGCCATAAAAGTGAGGATTTTTAGGGTATGGTCACTTGTGAGAAGAGGGGATCAAGCAGCAAAGTCCTATAAATGTTGTTATGAACAGTGCTGGTATTGTAAAATATAATGCATTAAAACTTGTCTAAATCCTCATACTCTAAATGTGACGTTTTAATTAGGCTGAAATCAGTGGAAGACTCTTGACTTGACCTAATTGGATGCAGTGTTCAGCATTTGCAATGGGATTTTTTCAAAAACTATGGCAGTGATTTAGGAGCACTGATCTTGTTGAAAGGCCGTGGTATTTGTGCTGCTAAGTCACTTAAGGACTTTTGAAAATCCCACACTTGTCCCTGATTTGAGGGTGGACCACATATTAAATGCAGTCCTCTTACTGCCTCGGTGGTAACCCTTCCAGATGTTGCTAAAAGATTTACGAGACGGCCTTTCCATGAGGCTTTCCATTGTACAGCCGCGCTGCTGTGCCCCGCCACAGCCCTGGGGCTAGTGGCAGCGGTGGGGTGGGAGCCAGTGATGGGGTGGTGAAGCCCCGCGGGGTGCTCCACTCCAGAGCGGGCACCCATCAAACCTTCATAACCACGCGGAGGTCAGCTGCTGCTTTTTTCTTTGCATCTGAGTAATGCTGGGTTTAAGCTACACTGGATGTTAACACATGACCTTGGCTGTATCTCAAGGATACTACTAAGCACTGCTCAGAGGTTTTTGGGGTTGATTTTTTTTGGTTTTGTGGGTGTTTTGGTGTGGTCCGCTAGGCTATGGAAATGTGGTTCTGTGATTCTGTGAAGTGTGTGCATGCTCTGTTCCAGCATGTTGTTGGGCCTGAGTTGTTTCTGGGTGCTGTTGAATTGGTGGTTTCCATGCGGACAGTCACTGGGCAAGGCCTTAATGAGATAAAACCTTGTTGGAAGGCACTGAGCAAAATCCTGGTTAAGGAACCAGACCCAAAGGATGTGAAGCGGCCATGAGCTCCCAGCCTTCCCAATTGGCAGCTGTAAATAAATTACTCTGAGACGGCAGAGGCCAGAGTGCTAATGGCTCAGGGATGCAGTGCATGTGTCATGGGCACCCCACGACCACCACTCGCCAGCGCCACTTCATCTCACCATGTCTGTGTGAACTTCTTCCAGGGCGATCAAGGTCGAGATGGAGCCACTGGCCCCCCTGGTCTGCCAGGACCCCCAGGGGCCCGGGGGCCTCCTGGCGACACGGGAAAAGATGGCCCAAGAGGACCTCCAGGCCCCCCAGTAAGGATGGGAGATGCGCAGTGAGCACACGCCAGGCAGTTCCCATCCCAGCCAGGAAGTGGAGGTGAAGGGTGTTCCCTTCCCCGGTGCTGCCACCCAACCGCTGGGTCCCCGGCCTGAGCCAGCAGTTGGACTCTGATGGCTGCCCATACAGCAAAGTTTTGGGGCATGGGGCCAAGGGAGCAGGAGGGGGTCTTACATTTTCAGTTTAGGAGCAAGGAGCTGGACCTGGAGCATGTATTTGCAGATGCTGGGTGTAACTGAATGTCCAGAGATCTCTTCCCCAGTCGGTAGCCTTCAGAGAACATGTTGCAAATCTCCAGATCACTGGCAATTTATTTAATTAAAAAAAAAATAGGTTAAAACATAATGGTGCTGAACATGCTAATTATTGCAGAGCATTTCGGAAAATGAGAGGTAATAGTTTCAGTGTTGGCCTTTTTATTTTTGCAGGGTTTCAAAGGGGAGCCAGGAGAGGATGGCCTCATGGTCAGTATTGCCCAGCAGCATCCATGCCTGTGTGCCCCTCATCTCCCTTGCTTTATGTCACTCTTCAGCTTGCTGCAGCAAATGGTTTTGTGTCATTCTTTATGGGAAAACCCATGGGGAATAATAGATGCCCTAAAATGGATGTTTGTCCAGGGGTACCTGTGCCCTGAGGAGAAGAGGCCAATCTTTGTCCCCTTGACTGCTCTGGAGGGATGTGCTGCTCCTTTATCCCCACTTCAGCCCCTCGGAAGCCTCCTGGCATTGTAACTCCCATTCACTGAGGTCTAGGTTGGATAAAAAGGTGCTTATTATAGATAAGATACTAAAGCTGTAAAAGAATATTTACTATTTACTGGGAGCACAGAGAACTTATAGCTGTATTTGTAAGGGAAGATGAGAAGTTGGCATCTGTGTAATTTTTTTTCATGGGAATTAAAGTACTGTTGGAAATGTTTTTATTCTGCTGTACTCTATTGTCAAATAAATGCACCAACTACTCTTACATTCAACAGGGTGCCAGGGGACCTCCAGGACCAAAGGTGGGTGATAAGTGATTTCTTATCTTTCTAATTTTAACAAGAATTCTTGAAATACTGCTGTGTAAGTTAGGTGGCGATGAACATATGTATTTCACACTGGACTTGTACTCATCTGTATTGATCAGATCCAGAATTTCTGAGGTATCAGATTAGTTGTGGACTTGGAGCTGCAAATGTCTGAATGTGTCACTTACACAAAAAGTGCAACTGTTGCCCACATTAAAACCTTGAAATGGGGTGGAGGGATCCATGGGGGGCTGGAAGGTGGTGTGCTGTGGGAATGGGCATTTGGAGCAGGAATAAAGAGGATCAACACAAGATGAATATTTTAACTTTACAGACGATTTAGAGCAGTTGTACAGATATTCATATTTTCTGTTATGTCCTTAAACTTCTTTCTTCTCTGCGTGTGTTGCTGTTGAAGGGTGAGCCTGGCATCCAAGGGAAAAAGGTAAAATGGTGATTTTGTTGTTGTTGTTGTTATTTCTTGCTTTGCTTTGCTTCGTGCTCAAGTAGGGAAACTATTGCCAGAGACCAATGGAGAAGCCATGGCCATGGCTGTCCATACCGAGCCCTTCCTTGTGTTCCCGGTGGTTTTTCACACATGTGACCCTGCAGCACGGGCATGGCTGTGCCTTCAGCCTGGTTCATTACCACAAGCCAGAAGCTGCAATTGCATCTTCCCAATAGACAAAGAATAAAGTAGTAAATGCCAAACAACGCAGTAGGTCTTGAGCCCTTTTGCTCCAGTAATTGAGGCTGACCGAGAAGCACTGGGGACTGTTACCTGCCCAGGGGTCCTTGGTTTGGGTCTGAGGTTCCTGGGACAGGCAGCAGCACCTCGGTCCCGTGGGGCTTGCCCACTCTCTTAAGGACAAGGACACTGCTTGGGTCAGGCACTGAAAGCTGCAGAAGATTCACATGTCTGAGCTCTCCACCTTTTCTTCTGGTGGTGCCATAAAGTAGGGGACAAATCGCTGCCTTTAACGGAAGCCCAAGCAATGATAGGGTCCAGCCTTTCCCTCTTACTGCTTTGCCCCAGAACAGATGTGGCCATGGGTGTTTTCCAGGCCAGAATTTGGCTTAAAAAATTCTTAACTAGCCAGTAAAATTAACCTCTTCGGCACCTGCAAAGTGGTTTTACTCCAGGAGAACAATGAAGCAGGACAGGTGAACCAAGAAACTCTCCTCCTCGCAGATGGGTATGCTGGTGATTTGTGATGAAGTCCATGAGGATGCATGGCAGCTTGCAGGAGGTCTTTGGGACCCAAAAAGCCTAAATGGATTAAATATCTAATTTCTATTAAAGGCGAGAGAGCACCTTCCCCAGGCCCTGCTGTAAGCAAATCCGGGGAGATGCCCGGCCACCTCCCCAGGAGCAGGGGAGGCAGAGGCAGAGCTGGCAGGGAGTCTCCTGGGTTCCTTGCTGCACCTTTCCCTTGGCCTCCAGCGAACCTGAGTGAGTCTCGGGTCTGTGTAACACTCAGTGGGGTTAAATGATGTGTTGGATCCTAATGATACATGTGTACAACCTCTTTGTATTCCACTTTTTATATTTTATTTTAATTTATTTCATCAGGGTGATGACGGGATCCCTGGGGAACCAGGACTTACAGGCCCTAAGGTATGCTCTGCTCTGTGTCCATCTAATGTATGTGCTTGGTGGCATCTTTTGCTCTCTGGTTTCATGGCACAGTGTCACAGTTGGGGCCGGTTGAAAACCATGTTTCCTCGCTGACATGGAAAAAGAACAAAAAAAATGGGAGAGAGAAGCATAACCCACCCCTTGCCATGGTAGCTTTGCCCAGAAGTTTGCAAATGCAACTTGTTGACTATGGCAGAGAGTCGCTATTTATAGGCTCCTCTTGCAAAAGCAAATTGGGGAGGGTTGCTGGGGTTCGAGATGTGGGTTTGCACTGCCCACATCGGGGCGCAGCAGGCTCTCCATGGGAGCCTTCTCCAGATGCTGCGGGTTTGGGGCTAACTTTATGGCTGAACATAACACCCACAGCCAAACTGTTAAGCCCAAAAGCTCCATTTTTATCTCAAACTCCCCTTTTGCACCTAGGCAACATGACATATTTCAGTCTAAAAGCAGACCTTGCTCACTCTTGTATGTAGCAGTAAAAATAAAGCAAGGAAATTACAACCTTGAAGAAATCTGCTCTCCATCGTACCCGTATAGCTTTTGTCAAAATAGTCTTGTTTTCAGGGAGAAAAAGGAAGTGCGGGGCCCAAGGGAGACAACGGCACAGATGGCCTGCCAGGACCCAAGGTAAATAAAAGCCCATTAGCTTGGAAGCTGGGCACAGTGCTCTCGAGGCAGAGGTTTTGCCTGAGGAGGTGTTTTAGGCCTTTGCCTTCTAAAAGGCTCATAAAATGCCCAAACTGAAACAAAAACAGGGATGTGAAGAAGTATTTTAACTTTTCCTGGTGATTTAATGAAACCTGGATTCAAGCAGAGATCAGTATGAGAGTTTTTAAAACCGTCTCCTTGCATGTTTTTCATTGAATCACTTCTTTTTTCCCCCCAGAAGAGCTAAACCCCTGATCACATTTTGATACGCTGTATTGATGGCTGTGGTATTGCTTCAAAGCCCGGAGCTCTTGCGTGCCGTCCTCTTCCCCTGAGCTTCGTAACTGCCAAGAAACGCAATCAGACGGCCTTGATATGTTAAGTGGTGATGATGAGACCCGGACAGCGTTCATGGGCCGTTACTTTCCCTCAGCTGCTTTGTATTTAGTAGGCTCCGTATCCAGCCCTGTTTGCTATATGGAACAGCCGTGCCTCCTTGTTGGGCAGGAGAGTGTATCTGATAAAGAAACTTGGGCCTGGGTGACCCTTAGCCATTTTTTTTTCCTAGAAGCATAGTAGCAGTGCTGGTTTGATCCCCCTGGGATCTGCTGAATTGAGTTTTCCTATGGAGAGTCTTTGTGTTTATATCTTTTTGTTACTTTTTGGAGGGCTTTAATTTGGCCAGCGAATAGACTTTATGGATATGGCAAAAGGTACATTTTTTTGAACCCTGAACTGAATTTCAGGTCACTGTTGTGGGAGTGCTACAGCTTTCGTAAAATTCCCAACTTTCAAATAAAAGGAGGGAAAAAGAAAAAAAAATTGGGCACAGCCCTTTTCCTTAAACTCGCCTTCAAAAATGGCTTAAATGTGTCAGCTGAGACTTTGCACACACAAAATTCCACCTAAAGTAAAGAGGGAGCCATGCGAAACTTCATCACAGAGAGCCAGGGCCTGGCTCGCAGCAGGCAGCGGAGCCAGAGGGCGGCACAGCACAGCACAGCACAGCATCATCGCATCACTGGCATGGGGAGTTCGCTGTGAGAAACTGTTTCTTACTGTCAACTCGCTCACACCAACGTTATTATTTTTGCAAAATACCTTTGCTCTGAAGTCAAATTTATCTTTTTGCTAGGAGAAGCAGTTCCTTGTTGGTGCCATACTTTTTCTTAATCTAAAACACAGCTTGGCATCTCATGCAGTTACAGTATTTTTAAGATAAATAATCCTATGTTTTCCTTGGTCTCTTTGAACCAAAAAAAGTGATTTTGATTTTCAGGGTGAGCCTGGTGAGAAAGGAGGAATCGGCTCCATCGGACCCCGGGTATGGATGTTCAGAGTTTTTAATTTTCAGTTTGGAGTTGTGTATTTGCCTTGACCAGTTCCCCACCACCCCTTTCTGCTTAGTGTGTGGTTGAATTGCTTCAGGATAAGCTCAGTGCTAGAAAATAGAGATGCTGCATAGTTAAACAAACCATTATGTAGGTACCAGAAACTGCCATGGGAGATAGCTCTGAGAAATGCAGTCAAGTCCAATTTTCTTATCAGTGTGACCTTCCTGTGACCCTTTATTTTGCAAGAGGGAAGCTGTGAATAGGGGTAATCAAGTGAGGGTTTCTACCTGACTCTCAGTTACACAGATTTATGACCTTTTGAGTTTTGGTTGGATGACAGTTACAGCTGTAGGGCTAGGAATTGATTAAATGGACGGTGTTTGTAAGGTGATAATCCCCAAACCCCTGGGTGTCAGGTCTGTGCTTTCATACCACATGCTTCTCTGATGCTGCAAAAGCTAAACAGGATTCATCCCCGGTTCCAGGGTCCCCCCGGCCTGAAAGGGGAACAGGGCGACACCGTTGTGATCGACTACGATGGCCGGATCCTGGATGCACTCAAGGTAAGCCCCATACCACAGCCTGAAAAACTGCTGAGCTCTGCCCTGGTGACGTTGTGGCACCGTATTTGTCCCTGTCTTACTTCTGCTTCCTGAGATCTCAGTCTTGGCACAGAGCTGGCCAGAAGGGGAAAGCATATTGCAGCTAGGGGCTGAGGATATTTAGGATGCATCCGTAAAAACGGTGGCAAAACTCGAGGCTGTGAACTTGGGCTGGGTACCAGGCTCGTGGGATCCGAGTTCATATTCTGCAGGTAACAGCAACACGATGCAGCCTGTGACATAGGAACCTGATGCAATGAGGATGGTCAGCCAGATTACACCTTAAATGCTGCTGGCTGCAGGATGTTATTCCTATGGCACTGTGCAGAGCCACGGGTTTCACTGCGCATCCTCTGGAGCAGTTTTTTCTGCAAGCAGCAGTAGGGATGCAGGAAGAAGGGAAACAGCACCAAAGCCCAAACCTGCCTGACCAGGCAGCTCCCTGCCATTTTCCTTAGTATGAAAGAAGCTGAATAGAGCAAATACTTAATGACAGACACATTTGAGAACTATCTTAATTGTTTTATAACAGGCTGCTGGGATACACAAAGTGATGGTAATTATGGTTTTGCCAGATGTCTGCACGGCATGCAGCTTTGCGAGTGGGGTTTGTGGAGTGTGGTGGTTGGAAAGGCCCCATCAAGTATCTGGAGACTTCATCTGCTGGGCCCAGACCCTCTCCCGTGTGCTGCATGCAGAGACTGCTGAGGGGCCCGTCACTGAACCTCACCAACTTTGCCGTTTTCTTCATTTGCTGCTTTCAGTGTTTGCACACTGACCTGTCCCGTGGACAGAGCTTGGAAAAGGGGTGACTTTACATGGCTTCTGGTGTGACTAAATATAACAGTATTTGAGTATGCAGTCATGGAAAAAGGTGCTTGGGAGTGTGATACTGTTTTGTTTTTCAGCTGAGCAAGATCATGAGTTTTGTCATTTGAGATAATTTGCAATTTGCAAAATATTTGTTCATCTCAAGGTGGTTCATGGTCTCCGCACTCAGCAGTGCCCACGAGAAACAGCTTATTTAAGCGTGCAAGGTGTTCCTGTTGTTAGTGCTCACACAGACTCCTTCGTTTTCCCTCTTTAATTGCACCTCCCTGACTCGTTATTGCTGT